AGCAGTGCTCGAACTTGTCCGCCTTTCTGAACCCGCCCGGTTACGGAACAGAGTCTGTCCATTCGGGTCCGTGGTAAAAATGCTCGTGCCTGGACCAAACTGAGTTGCGCTCTGATGAACTCGATGACCTGTGAAGGAGTGAGGCTGGATTTTTTAGTATTAACAAGGAGCCCCAAGTTCTCCAGGACAGTGCACGTAATGTCAATGTCTGTAACAAGTTGGTCCCGAGAAGAGGAGACGATGAGCCAATCATCTAAATATGGATAAATTTGAACACCTTGTTGACGAAGGTGAGCACATATCGGAGCCATGCACTTGGTAAATACCCTGGGAGCTGTGGCAAGTCCAAAGGGGAGGACATTATATCCAAAAATGTCAGAGCCCATTGTAAATCAGAGAAACCCCCTATAAAACAGGTGGATACCGATATGGAAATAGGCATCCCTCAGATCAATGGACGTGAACCAATCTTCTCTCTCTAGCAGGGGAAGGATGTTTTGTAAAGTGTTCATGGGAATTTCTTAGTCGTAATAAAGGCATTGATGCCCCTTACATTGAGTATGGGGCGTAGGCCACCATCTCTCTTCGGTACCATGAAATATCTAGAGTAGAAACCGCAAAGTCCATCGGAATGGGAGATTAGGCGGATTGCTCCCTTATGGAGTAGCTGGGATACTTCTTCTCTAAGAATTTCCAATGGGGCGGTGTATAGTACTGGACCCGAAGGGGGGATGACATCGAACTCGATTCTATATCCAAATTCAATTATGAAAAGGACCCATTCGTCACATGTGATGGTCTCCCAAAGAGGGAATCGGCTTTGTAGCCGGCCTCATAGGGAGGGGGGAGGGGTGTAGGAGAGAGAGGATCAGTTTGTGGGACCTGTCAATGTTGCCTCTTATCAGCAGGTTGGCGGCAGCGGCCCTGTTGATAATGGGCGGCCAGTTGCATGAGGTTTTGTTGTTGCCGCTGGGGGAATTATTGGCGTGGCTGAAAACGGTGGTAAGGTTGGTATCTTGGATATCGAGATTGATGCCACTTATGACAAGTCAAGCCTGGGATTTCCATCTTTCTGGCGGTAGCCCGAGCATTATAAATATGCTCGAGCTTGCGGTCTGTGTCCGGTTGTGGAAGAGGCCCGATCCGTCGAACAGCATCCCCTCGATCCGTCTCTTGGTCTCCTCTGGGAAGTTACATGAATGTAGCCAGGCATGCCTTCGGAGAGCAACGGAGCCAACTAGAGTGCGGGAATCGCAGTCGACATGATGGCGGACTGTAGTGAGCTGTTGGATCACAAGCTGCATTGCCTCTCTTATGAAGACTCGGGCTAGGTCACGTTGTTGTTCTGGGATGAACGAGGTGATCGAATCCAACCGCTGCATCAGAAAATACTGATACCTCGCCATCGTCGCCTTGTAGTTGGAAATTCTCAAGCCCAGTCCCATAGCCGCATAAATTTGCCGCGCCATAAGGTCGATTTTTCTTCCTTCCTTGTCTCTAGGGGCCGAGTGCTCCCTGTTTTCTCACCCCTGGGAAGACTCGACCACAACAGAGTTGGGCTTCGGGTGTTTTAGAAGGAAGATAATATCTTGCTCTTTGACTTTGTACATGGATTCATACCTCCCAAATGTCGATTGAGGTTGGTCGGGAGAAGTCCATGTATAGCCTCCCGTAGGGTTGTAATTAGCGGGATGGTAATGGTGGAAGATTGTTCTTTATGGACAATATCATAGAAGTTGTCCTTGTTAATGTTGGGCTGGTGCTCAACCTCAAATCTCCAAGGCTCTAGTTAAGCGACCCATAAGTTCACTGAAGGTAGCGTAGGATTCTTGGGGAGACCCAGGTCCCTGGGTGGAGATGACTGCCGCAGGGGACGTAGAACAGTCGCCTGAGTCCTCAGAGTCTGAGTCATATGGGTACGGCGGACTGGAGGATGATTGAGCCAGAAGAGGAGGATGGCGAGAGGTCGTCAGCGCCGAAGTAGAAGCTTCAGCTCTTGTCTGTCAGGATCGATGACCATATTCCCTCAGCATGTAGCAGCCGTATGAGGGTGGGTGTCCCCAGTATTGAGGTTGTGAAGCTTCCGGCCCTTCGTAAGGCATCGGGACCCATGATCTGGCGGATTGTCCCGATGAGAGGTGATGCTGGTGGGGTTTGGCCACCGTGGTCCTCCTGGGAGCCTCCAGAGAGGATGGCATTGGAATTGGAGAGCAGGCCGGTTGATAGCACGGCAACTATCATAGAGGAGAGTCACGGATCTCTCCATCCGACATCAACCCATGAATGACAGGTTCAGGTGGATGTAACATGGTCGGGACAGCAAGCTCAACCCTTTGTGGGGATCCGGGCAGTGTGACCTGCATCAGCTCCCTCGGTGTCGGTGCCGAGGGTGTCGGGACCAATGGTGCTGTCTGGACCGACGGGGCGGTCGAATCCGAATCTCTCCATGATTCTGGAGCAGGCCTGTGCTTCCTGCTGGCCTTGCCCGACTTATCTTTTTTGGCCTTCTTCGGGATTGACGGATCCCCATGGTCGGAATGCTTCCGCTTCTCCTTTTGTTTGACCAAGGAATGGGAGGAGCGAGAGGTCTCCTCGGAAGCAACTCCACTGGATGGTGGGTGAGGGGAGGTCACCATAGAAGGGCCGGCCGACAGAGGCTGAGCTGTGAGCTTGTCAGAGTCTAGTAAGGCCTGATCCCAAAGGATCTTTCTCAGTCTATTCTCTCAGTTCTTCCTGGCCTGTGTAGTGAAGGCCTGGCAGTGCCCACATTTGTCGGTGCGATGCCCCTCTCCCAAGCAGAGGAGGCAGAGCTCGTGTGGGTCCGCTGGGGATATTTTGGCCCCGCATTTCGAACACTTTCGAAAAGCCGCGCACTGAGCCATCGAGAGGTAAGAAGAGGGATATTAAAGGTAAGAAAAAAAGATATTCACACACACACACACACACACACACACACACACACATATATGAAGGTAAAGAGGAAAGAAGTAACTGGGAAACAAGGGAAAATAACTTGGATTCAACTAGAAAAAACTTTTAAGAGAACAACAAGTAAGTTCGAGAAGACAAAGTAATGGCTTGAGGCAATGCGATCGGCGGTCGAAAGAAGACTGAGGAAAATGGTGGGCGCTCCACCTTATATAGCACCAGGGGGGAGGGGTGTGGAGTTCCCACCAAAAACCGTTGTATCTTTGGTATTCTGGCCGACAACAGGCACTGCGCAGGCGCAGTACCCATTATGTGGGATGCACAGAGACCAGGAAGAAGAACTTTAGGTACTGTTTCTGAGTACTTCTCTGGACACAGTGTAAATGACAACAATATAGAAGCTGGAGCAGAGCTTATATCTAAGGACCAAACATGGTCTTATGAATTCTAGTTCCTTGGTTTTGTAAATCTATTTCAAAGCAATACAGGAACAAAGCCCAGTGAAGCAGACAAAGAAAAACTTCAAGTATTCTGAAGGGAGTATTCAAATGTTATGAAGTCATATATCTAAAGGACTGACTATTTTTTAATTGATGAAACTTAGCATTGCTAAAGCATTTTGTTTTAAATCATTTTCACTATCTCTGAATAGTTTCATATCAGAAATTCAATCAATGGGGACAGAGGGAAAGGAAGAGAAAGATTGAAAGCACACAAGGAAATAAGCTTCAAGCTGGAGTTAAAATTAGATGTACTTTGCAGACTTAATTTAAAAATATCAATTTCTTCAGAATTCTGTGGAAGATCCCTGTACCAGTCATATTTACTCCCATCCCCATGTCATTTCCATGGAAATACCAAATTCAGAATGGCTGTCACCCTGAGTTAGATCTCAAGCCACAATCCTAAGGCATTTTTAGATGTACCCAGTAGGACCTTTAGTCTTTTGCCTTGAACAGCATAACTGTTTTTGAAAGCTCCCTTGAATTATGGGGTGGGGGGCATGGGCAGACAGGAGAAAATCAAACCCACATATTAAAGCAGTACAGGACAACTTAACTTTATAACTGTAGAAAACTGGTGTGTTGAAAGTGTTAGCTTACTAGCTTTGGTTTTTCTGAGTGTGACATCTTGAAGGTGAAGGTGAAAAAAATAGGGTTTTTTTTAAAGGAAGCAAAAGACTTCAACAGTTTCGCTTACCACTTTTACCATATGCTCTGTAACTTTTTGAAAGGAGCTACAAAAAGAAACTAATGCTTCTTTCCAGTTTAGAGTGTGCACAGTCAAGTTGGGCTTCAGGGGGCAATGCAACTATGATGGATATTTACCTGCCATCTCCAGCTCCAAAGTGAAGAGGAAGCTGGACTCAGTTATTCAGGCATTGGGCTCTTAGAACCTAAACCCCTGAGTAGTTCCAGCAAGTTTGATATTATTCACATTTAGGTGTAATGTGTAAAAAAAGGTAAAAGTTTCCCCCTGACATTAAGTCCAATCATGCCTGACTCTAGGGGGCGGTGCTCATCTCCGTTGCCTAGCCGAGGGAGCCAGCGTTTGTCCACAGACAGTCTCCATGATCATGTGGCCGGCATGACTAAACACCGAAGTGCACGGAATGCTGTTACCTGCCCACCGAAGTGGTACCTTTTTATCTACTTGCATTTGCATGCTTTTGAACTGCAAGGTTGGCAGGAGCTGGGACAGAGCAACAGGAACTCACCCCGTTGCGCACATTCGAACTGGCGACCTTTCGATCAACCAGCCCAGCAGCACAGCGGTTTAAACCACTGCGCCACCTGCAGTCCCAAGGAGAAGGATAGGGTCTTTGTATCACAAGTGCTGGCTTGGTTACTGAAGTCAGCAAAAATGGATGAACACTTCTTTGCAAATCGTACAAATAACTTTTTCAGTAAAGATTCAACACACAACACAGAGAGAGAGAGAGAGAGAGAGACAGAGAGAGAGACTGAGCTGTAGTTTCCAGTGAAAAATGAAGAGCTTTGCTACTTAATAAAACCAAATGCATATTTTCTTAATCATAATTGTAATGCTATTGTTTGTAAAGTCATACTAACCTCCTCTGGATTTCTAAATCTTCCTGTGATGGGCCATTTTGCACTTGTGGAGGAAGTTGGGCATTTTGTCGAGGCAACGTTGGACCTAGGAAAAAATAAGTTGCACACTTTTTATGCAGAAGTCATTTGTAAAGTCCAAATCAATTTATAAACATTCTTCCATTCACAATGTTGCCTTTCCAGTTATTACAAAATCCTATACAATTAAATTAATACAAGGAGTTCTGCATGTTGTTTTTCACCATGAATGTATTTCATAAATATTCATAGATTGTATATGCTTCCAAATGTTAAGCATGATTTTTTGGGGAGGCAAGAGATGAGTTCAATTACTTAAACAGAACCCTAAAAGCACAAGAAATGTTTCTTTTTCCTTCAATGTATGGAAATATTGCCCAAATCAGGAAAGCAAAAGGGAGCACAAGCTTGCACATGGAAGACTCAAGCAAACAATAAAACAAATACAGTATATTACAAAAGTGAGTACACCCCTCACATTTTGTAAATATTTTATTATATCTTTTCATGTGACAACCCTGAAGAAATGACACTTTGCTACAATGTAAAGTAGTGAGTATACAGTTTGTATAACAGTGTAAATTTGCTGTCCCTTCAAAAATAATTCAACACACAGCCATTAATGTCTAAACCGCTGGCAACAAAAGTGAGCACACCCCTAAGTGAAACTGTCCAAACTGGGCATTATTAGCCATTTTCCCTCCCCGGTGTCATGTGACTCATTAGCGTTACAAGGTCTCAGGTGTGAATGGGGAGCAGGTGTGTTAAATTTGGTGTTATTGCTCTCACTCTCTCATACTGGTCACTGGAAGTTCAACATGGCACCTCATGGCAAAGAACTCTCTGAGGATCTGAAAAAAAGAATTGTTGCTCTACATAAAGATGGCCTAGGCTATAAGAAGATTGCCAAGACCCTGAAACTGAGCTGCGGCATGGTGGCCAAGAGCATACAGCAGTTTAACAGGACAGGTTCCACTCAGAACAGGCCTTGCCATGATTGACCAAAGAAGTTGAGTACATGTACTCAGCGTCATATCCAGAGGTTGGCTTTGGGAAATAGATGTATGAGTGCTGCCAGCATTGCTGCAGAAGTTGAAGGGGTGGTGGGTCAGTCTGTCAGTGCTCAGACCATACGCTGCACACTGCATCAAATTGGTCTGCAGGACTGTCGTCCCAAAAGGAAGCCTCTTCTAAAGATGATGTACAAGAAAGCCCGCAAACAGTTTACTGAAGGCACGCAGAGTAAGGACATGGATTACTGGAACCATGTCCTGTGGTCTGATGAGACCAAGATAAACTTATTTGGTTCAGATGGTGTCAAGCGTGTGTGGCGATAACCAGGTGAGGAGTACAAAGGCAAATGTGTCTTGCCTACAGTCAAGCATGGTGGTGGGAGTGTCATGGTCTGGGGCTGCATGAGTGCTGCCGGCACTGGGCAGCTACAGTTCATTGAGGGAACCATGAATGCTATCATGTACTGTCACATATGAAGCCGAGCATGATCCCCTCCCTTCGGAGACTGGGCCACAGGGCAGTATTCCAACATGATAATGACCCCAAACACACTTCCAAGACGATCACTGCCTTGCTAAAGAAGCTGAGGGTAAAGGTGATGGACTGGCCAAGCATGTCTCCAGACCTAAACCCTATAGAGCATCTGTGGGGCATCCTGAAACGGAAGGTGGAGGAGCGCAAGGTCTCTAATATCCACCAGCTCCGTGATGTCATCATGGAGGAGTGGAAGAGGACTCCAGTGGCAACCTGTGAAGCTCTGGTGAACTCCATGCCCAAAAGGGTTAAGGCAGTGCTGGAAAATATCGTGGCCACACAAAATATTGACACTTTGGGCCCAATTTGGACAGTTTCACTTAGGGGTGTACTCATTTTTGTTGCCAGCGGTTTAGACATTAATGGCTGTGTGTTGAGTTATTTTTGAAGGGACAGCAAATTTACACTGTTATACAAGCTGTATACTCACTACTTTACATTGTAGCAAAGCATCACTTCTTCAGGGTTGTCACATGGAAAGATATAATATTTACAAAATGTGAGGGGTGTACTCACTTCTGTGATATACTGTAAATGTTTTGAAAAGCATATCTCTTAACAATGTCAAGGCCAACAATAAATAATTTTAAGTATATGAGAAGAAAGAAACAAGAAAGGCAGTTGGCCAATTGGATAATAACAGAATTAAAGATACGCTAAAGTGGAATAAGGCTATTGCAGAAAAGCTGAATTTTTTTTAAAAAAAATCTGTCTTTACAACAGAGGATGTAGAACAGATGCTGGGTACAGTTCTGGTTGTCTACCTGGAAAAAGAACATTGTGGAAAATGTGCAGAGAAGTACAATGAAAATGAGCAAGGGTCTAAAGCAGCTCCCAGTAGCTGTCACAACTACTGGGACTGTTTAGCTTAAGGAAAAGGCAAGTAACGGGAGACATGCCAGAGGTGTTTAAAACTATGCATGGTGCAGAGTAATACTAGAAGCCAGGATTGCTCCATGAAACTGATTGGTTGGAGATTTAGGAAAGATAAATGGACTTTGTCACACAACATACAGTTAAATTCATTGCCACTGGATGTAGTGATAGTCACCCTTCTGGATGGTTTTAAAAGTGAACTGGACAAATCCATGGAGGAAGAAGTTATCAATGGCTACTACTTTCATTACCAGAAGAAGTATGCCTGCATATACCAACTACCAAGGAGCTTGGGCAGGCAAAACTCTTGTATCTATTCTGCTTGAGGGAACCTGTGGACAGCTTGTTTGCTGCTGTGTAGGCAGAGTGCTGGACTGGATGACCACTGGTCTGAGCTAGCACGTTTTTCTTATGCTCTAACAAAAGAAACAGATACAGTCCTACACGCAAATCAATACAAGCCCAACATGAAGACAGTCTGCTCTTGAGACAATAACATTTATTACCCAATGTATCACTATCTAGACTAACAGTAATTCCTTCAGGGCACAGTCTTATGGGTTGCACCCCCAGTGATCATAAGCCCCCAAACATGGAGGTTTATGATCAGCCCAAGCAGAGTAGGAGATCAGGCAGAGTGAGAGGTTTTGCCTCTCTGTCCTACCTTGTATTTCGCACTAGATGAGCTTTTTTGTCCTACCTGGGGTGCATTGGAAGCAGATGGAAGAAGAGACTGAAAAAGCTTGTATCCTGGGAGAGCATATATCCTGGCTTCTCCAGTCTCCCCTCCCACTGAAATGACCTCTTTTCTAATTCAATAAGTTTTAAGTACACATAGTAGGGATGGAAATAATTTGTTTAGCTTACCTATTTATAGAAGTGTAACACATTCACACTATATGCATCCATAGTCAAACTGGAAAACAGTTAAACCTCAATATTCACATTTTTTGAAGATTCTAATCAAGAATTGCACATCAAAAATGCATGTAGTACAGAAAATGTTTATATTTCAGATAGGCAGAAACAAAAGCACTTTATCTGAGGAGAAGTTACCTGCATATTGGAAAAATGTAAACATTGCTTGTACACTTGGAGAAATGCACACAGAAATATGTACATATTTTGTGAGGACTTTAAGAAGAAAAAATGCCAACTGAGACAGAATGAACTTTGGAAAATGAGTGAAATCAAACCATGTTGTCCATCCTTAATTTTTACCCCTTTAACCCCACACTACGGCTCACTACTGAATAGTCAATTCCAATAACAACTTGAAGAAAGATGCTTTTTTCGCCTGCTTCATGGATTTATTCTGAAAAATCCCCTTATACTGATTTAAAAGCCTAGCAAATGATTTAGTTAAAGGTATGCAAGAAAAACCATTTCTCTGTAATATGTTATCAACAATTCAAAATGAATCACCAGCTGCAGTGTGTCAAATGGCAGGTCATGCGCTATGTGGTAGCTTGCAACTCAATCCAATACATGTTCTCAAAAACAAATTCCACCAAATTTAATAGCATTTACTTCCAAATCAGCATAAGTAGCCTGCGTGGGCTTTCCTCTTGTGAGGTCAGGTCTGTTTCATCCTTTCCTCCTATAAGCTTTTTAAAACATTTTTTTCTCATGTACTTGACATATATATTCAGCTAAATGTTTATTCAGAATTTTTAAAAAATCTGTCTTTTCTACTAGAAACAGGAGAGGGTGGTGTGATTGTCCCAAAAGAGCAGTAAGCATCTTGTGCAGGTAATCTGAGGAAGTTATTGCCCTTGTGGCTGCTATGACATGGCTAGCTTCTGCTGATAAGAAACGGTTGCTCCCAAGCATGATTCTTTGAGGAAGGTTGTTAAAGCTAGCCAAAAAAGTGAATACAAAGGCACAGTGATTTTATACCTCAGATGATATGCAACTTCTGAAAACATCAAGCCAGGATTATGGATCAAGCTAGATGATATACAAAATGCAATTATATGTTTTCAGTGATGGGAGTTTTCAAAAATAATTTGAATGGTAAACATTTACAGAAATTTCCAGGCTAACTTAAACAGAGTGGCTTGCATAGGATTTTTTTTTAATTTTTTTATTTTTTTGGCATGGAGACATTTTCTGACCCTTAAAACAAAGATAGAAACAAAAATCTGGGAAGCTGGCAGCTGCATAATAAAATGTTGTCCTCCAGCACAATTTTTATTTCCAAGAATACCTCTGAGCCTCTTGAGGAAATAAAATAAAAATACTGAGTGGCTGCAGCAAGTACTTTCTGGAAGCATGCCCTGCCAAACAGAAATAAACAGAAGGGTAAGCGAAGGAATCATAGGGAATATCTTGAATGGTTAAGAGGGAGTGGAGAGAAGAGAACTGTGTGCTGCGTCTTTCACTGACATCAATAGTTTACTTTCTCAAATGTGTACTGGAGGAGAAAATAGTGGGATTAAATGAATGGTTTTATGCTCTGGAACCCAAAACACCCAGATCTTATCTCTGCCTTGCACTTAATTCAGCAAGTTCCTTCCCTTTTAGCTTCACCACTTTACCTTCTTGGAAATGGGTGTTTTGTAATTAGTGACAAACATGATGGCAGTGACTCAGTGAATGATCATTCAACAGCCATTTTGTGTGAGTGTCCACAATTTTCTC